CCGTGGTGCAATCTTTCCATGAGAAAACAAATCAGTCCCATGTTCGAGGAACCTAACTACAATACTTCTGTTTATGGTTCTCCGTTAACAACTGCTGAGCGGTCAGTACTGATTACTGCATACGACACCTGCTTATCTGCTTTTGCTTCTTCACTTCTTCCGTTTTCGATATATTTATTGCATTTAGGTAAGTGCGAAGAAGCGTAATGATGACACCCTGTATAAATTGGCGAGCGTGTGTCGGTTCTGCAGTCACAAGCTAGAAAGCTGAAATTAGAAATTTTTAGTTCTCGATACCAAAATGCATCCGGCATTAGCGATCCGTACAAAAAAGACAGGCCTGAGTTGGTCTTCCGTTTATCTAACTGCACTTTTCCATTTTTTTTGTTTTGATGTTTTCCGTAACGAAAATTAAGAAATGTGTTGACCTGGATAGGAATTGCTAATTTTTGTGAGATGTGAATGATAAATGTAAGCGTCATCATTATATTTTATAAAATGAGGGAAGAGAGAGGGAACGTGAAGCAGAAAGGAGGGATGAGGAAGAAATGCAAAACGAGAACTGAGTGTTCCTTTGCTCGGTATATGGATGCATCCCAGTAACATCACTAACAGGGGATACCCACACCGATTGCCCGTAATTCTACTAATATTTCATTTCTCATGGGTGGCATTTGCCAATAAAATCGTTTCTCATAAATTCATTTCTTCCTTACCATAATTTTTATTGTTCGCACGTTTGCATGAAATTTTTCAAATAACAACATACAACTTACATTTTTGCATGTCAAAATTAAAGTGATGATGTGGTATCCAGACATGCATATAGTTTCTAGAACCTCTTTCAGATTTAGCGGCATATCTAGCTTCCAGAAAAAAGTATAGTATGTCACTAAAATTCTTTGTCTCTCCCTCCAATCCGTTCTCTAACCTTAGCATGTCTCTCCCCTCTTTCCTCCTCCTCTCGTGGACGAAATCCGATTTTGAAATGGTTATGGACCAGAAGAGAATCGAACCACTCTTGTTCACATAATGGACGCAACGTGCAAAAACACTACACTACCGATCTTCTCGCACCTG